TTTAATTCATAAGCCTGCTTCTTCATCATTAGTCTTTTCAAATGCTAAAGTAGCAGGTTTGAAGGGTGTGCTGGTTTTGGCTGGGGTAGAGTTAATTTTCTTCACAGTAGCTAGTATGGGGCTATATTTTGGATTCGTGCTGGAAACTGTGTTGATAATACAGGGATGTTTCAGTTATTGCTGAGCAGTGCTTAGACAAAGTCAGGGCCTTTTCTGCCTCTCACCCCACCCCACCAGCGAGTAGGCAGGGGGTACACAAGAAGTTGGGAGGGGACACAGCCAGGACAGCTAGCCCCAACTGACCAAAGGGATATTCCACACCATATGACGTCATGCTCAGCAATAAAAGCTGGGGGAAGAAGGAAAAGGGGGACTTTCGGAGTGATGGCATTTGTCTTTCCAAGTAGCCGTTACGCGTGATGGAGCCCTGCTTTCCTGGGGATGGCTGAACACCTGCCTGCCTTGAACTGTCTCTATATCAATCCATAAGTCTTTTCACCTTCCTTCTATTTTCTCCTTGTCCCACAGGAGAGGGGAGTGAGTAAGCAGCTGTGTGGTGCTTAGTTGCCAGCTGTGGTTAAACCACAACAAAGGGGAATATAGCTAAGAAATATTACCTGAGACGTAAACATAAAAAAGGAATCCTTCTCTATAGAAGCAGTTAATTGGAATGGCTAAGGGGCTCCTATGAAGAAATGGAAGACATTTGACAATACTCAGGATTTCTCAGAGAAATATCAAAAAAGCTTCAAAAACACCGAGCCCATCATTACAGGGTCAACTGACTAACACTTAAATGAGTAAAATCTGTTACTGCATGGAGTCATGTCATGTTTTTCAAAAGTGGCCAGAACACCACAAATCCAGAAAGCAAAAGTATGACTTTTCTCTAGAGATGCCATCGCTACAATATTTTAACACCATTAACTGCAGCCATGACTTACTACTAGTGTAAAGAATTTTCGCAAGAGTAATTTCCAGTGTTGCTCCACGACTTCCCTCACCAAGCATATGCAACTGTGCACAGAAGGGAAAAAAAAAAAGCAAGAATATTACTGAGTTAAGAGTATTTCTACAAAAAAACAAGTTATGTAGTCCTAAACAAATATTATAGGAATGTCCTTGTTGGACTTCCTCATGATATCCCTCTGGTAAATTTTGATTGCTAAGCTCCTTCCAGAAGTATAGCTTCACTGAAACATTTAAGAATCACGGAAAAACAGACCCAAGAGCAAAAGTAGATAACAAGATTTACCTTCCATTTAACTAGACCATAACCAACACAGTTAACTCCTGACAGTAAACAGTCAGTGTGGCGATCTTTATATTCACCAGCCTAAAGCAATTGTAAACAAATCATCTTTTAAGCAACACCTACAGTGGAAGTTAATATAAAAAAAATTTCTAGCGGCCAGCTACTTCCAGAAAAAGTAGAAGTTAATTCTTAAGCTGCCTTCTGTTTAGAAGCTACTGTGTTAAAGTAAGGTCAGTCAGCCTGAAGCATTCCATGAATAAAACATCCCTGCTAGATGTTATACATGTGATTCAACCCCACAATAACCCTTAGTAGCACAACCCAGCCACACCATTAAAAAGCAGAATGAGGGGCAATTGTCACAGTCAAATGTTACTTGGTATTTTTCTTTTTTTAATGTTTCATTTAGTCATTAACACCAAAGTCTCATGGTTTCACATTTAGGAGTTCAGTTCCAGGATTCATAAAATACATTCAATATGATTAAAATTATTTATGTTTTTTCTAATCCATTAGAGATGTCTAATTGACAAGTAGTTATTAAGTAATTCACCATCAACCACTAAACACAGTAGATCTCTCAATATAGAATCTATTGTCCTGATATGGCAACAAATGCTTCAGTTAAAGAAAAATAACTTTCAATATTACAGAATTATGTACCAATGCAGAAAAAACTTAGTTAAGTAGTAATAATTTCATGATAAACACTCAAAGCAAAACCAAGTAATCAAAAACCTGCTCTTTGCTAATAATTGTGTATTATAAATATAAAAAATTGCATATTATAAATCTGAGTAAATCTTGTAGCATACCTCATCTACTACAATCAGACCGAGGTCATCAATTCTTTCTGTTTCAATTAAGGAATTCACTAGAGCATGTCCTTTTTCTATAGTAGCAATATAAAGGGACTTTTTTATTCTCCTCTTGATTGGTGGAAATCTTCCTTTACTTCCTGCGTATTCTTCAACCAGGAAACCCAATTCTATCCCAAAACTCGATAAACCCCTAACCTGTAAAAATGATCAATTAGAGAACAAACTCATGCTTATTTTGGATTTCAGAGCTGCCTCCAGAAGTCAGCATGCATATAACCAACCCACACCACAATCAACTGTTTGAATTAGTGAAAACATATTAGCTATGACTACCTTTTCCAATTGCAAAGCTGAAGTGTTTACAAATATTTTCAAGCTTGGGTTACATCTGTTCTCTAAAATTAACTTTTCCTTTATATAAAAAAAGTTAGTTTTTATTTCAAGACCATTCCTTTAGCAAGTTGGGCAGTACAGCTCTAAGACTGCAGAACTATACATAACATTGCAAAAAGCTATTATTTCAAAATTCAGCACACTTCACTTTGTAACTCAGCATCTTCATCTCATAATTTAAGTCTGTTTTATTACGAAATTACTGACCATCAGAGCAGCATTTAGGAGAGAAGTCACTCACCTCCCACTGTATATTTATGAAAAGCATGGAGTTTGCTAACATTAGTGTTAAAACCAGCCAAGTAACAAGGCATATCAGAAGAGATAAGCAGTATCAGAAACACTGTATCCAGACCTTTTCTTGGACAATGGCAACATATGGCAGGATCATCAGAACATCTTTCTGCCTGCAGAGTAATTCTCGGAGAATTATTATTTCAGCTACTAGTGTTTTTCCACCACTGGTTGGCAATGAGTATATTAAATTCTTTCTTTGCTGTAGAGATTCTAACATTAAGCAATCATGCTGCCATTCTGTGAAATGAAAAAAGAATTATTAGCAACTCACAGGGGCATGTTAGTCAATATCAAAATGCCTATGTGTCATATAGAACACTTTAGGCCTGGTGTTTGAGAGTTTTTCTTCAATAAACCACTAAAAGCTTTCAGTGATCGAGCCTTCCTAAGTATTCTATAAGCTATATCAACTTTTCCTACCCATCTAAAAAACAAAATAACCACTTAATAAAACAAAACAACCACTTTCCAACATGGTTTACATTAAATATTACCTTAAATATTTTCGCAGTGTAATGGGTACAACAGGCAACAGTTCACTAGCATTTTTTTTTTCAACAAACCATTAGTTACATTACCATAAAGCGTTTCAATCCCTCGAAATTGTCTGAAGAGATCTTTAACTTTGCTAGGTAATCCATAAAAAGGGCCTATATCAACAGAAGAAGATTCAATAGTTTTCCTAGCAACACAAATCTCTTCAGATAAAACGGCTTCTTTAAGCTGCTTGGTCTTAGAGACCTGCAGAGTCTGGACTTTGGCATTTCCAGTCATAGCACTTTTCAGATGATCTTTAAGACTCTCAGTTTTAAATAAATCACACTTAGAGTCTGAGGAGAAGTCAGTAGGTCTGTTCCCATGTTCAGCATAAGGACAAAAAGATGATGGACTCCTGATTTTGTCCGAGGAAGAATTCACACATTTATTCGTCCTTTCTGAGACTGGAGATATTCTAGAACCAGCAGAAAGTTCATCCATTTTCTCAAAATACAAAAGTTGTGATGATGGCAAGTCATCTAAAATAGAGTCAGTTGGTTCTTGATTGCTATCCACCGGGTCATTTTCATTCATTTGGAAAGCATCCTCTTTGTCAGCTTTAAGGACAAGCATATTTTCTGAAGTAGAAAAATTATCTTGTTTTTTCTGGTGAATTCCTGACTGAAGATTCCCAAGTATGATTTCTCCAGCTGCTTTAATGTCGATATTTTTATCCTGCAGGTATTTGTGCTCTATATCATCAATTTGAGCTAGCAAAGAATCATTTCCATAAAAGCTGTCATAGTCGCCAAACATATCTTCTTCACTATCATTACTGCACTGTAAAAACATGAGTATTAATACTCCAAAGTAACACCAAAGAAGGCAGCATAACTTGTACAGCACACACATCAGACGCAAGTCATTTAAGTCTTCCCCAACTTAACAAGTAAGTTAAGTGTTGTTCTGATGTTGCTTGTGAGGAAAGCCTAGCTTGACTTCTAAAGGAATGCATGCTTTAACCTACAAGTAGACACGATGTCTGCATAGCTACTTGGTAGCGATGGATTTTTTTTGAACTTAAAGCCAAAACGCGTCCCCTCTCATACAAAGCAAGGACCTCCCCGACCAACGTCACGACGGCTGGGTCTGGGCCAAGCCACCCTCCCAGACGGAGTCCCCCCGCCTCGACACCTAGCCCTAGGAGCCCGCCCGCATCCCGCCATCCCCGTACCGGGGTCTCCGCCGGGGGCCCCTCGCCACCGGAGCTCGGTCTCTTGCGAGCCACCGGCGAGCAGACGGCGCTAGGCTGCACCGGGGCCCGGCTCCGCTTGCGGGCAGAGCCGGGGCGGCTCTTCCTCCGCACCGCGAGACTGGGCTCGGCCATCACCGCCGCCCGTGGAGCCCGGGGGTGGTATCAGCCTCCACTGTGAGACCGGGGCTGCGAGGAAGCGATGCGGAGACCGTCACGGTCGCGGCCGGGCACGGCCGAACCGCCGGAGGAAGACGGGACCGCCACACGGAGAGCGGAGACGCGCCGGCGGCTTCCCCCGACCCAAACGCCCCGCGCTTCCGTCAACAGGCTATTGAAATAAAGGGACCGCGACTAGGCAGCGGCTAATCGCCTGCCTCAGGTAGAGCAGGCCGCGACCCCATTGGCCAGCGGATCGCATTTGTGCAGGCGGCAGGGTCAGGCAGCCAGCTATGGTCGGAAGGCAATAGCGCACAGACGGAAATGGCGTTGCTTGTGGGCGGTGCGCTGTAGAGGGTGGTATGGCGGCAGTGATGGCGGCAGCGGCGGCTGTGAGGCGGGCCTGGTGGAGGCTGGTGCCCGGTGCGTTGCTTCTGCCTTGTCTTTTCCCCCCTCTCGACCGGCGTGGCCGTGTCCGGGCTGTTCGCGTGGCCGGCCCCCCCCCCCGCGCCGC